TTCAATATCTGTTTAATAGATCTTCCATTTCTCATGCATTTGTCAATTCGGTGAGCTTCCAAGAACCTTTCAAGCTTCCATCAACCTTCGTTACAACATCGATTTACACCCAATGCTTGCAATCAGAAAACTTGGAAATATCATATTTGTTCCCTACATCAAAACCATTTATATCTATTACGAAATGCTGCAATCACTTACATTTGCAGTATCATTGTATTCACTGCAAAACATTTTCACAATTACCCTATCATTCATACTTATTGTTTTCTGTATATTAATTAACTGAAAGGCTGGAGAATAATTTCCAAATATGTTTAGAATTTTTAAAGATGACAAAAAATACATCCACTGTTTCTAAAATATTTCAGTAATATGTGAGATACTTTATTTGCCTAAATAAACTATCGAATTTCAACCTACTTAACTTTTCGAGTGCTACATCATTGTTCGCACTAAACATTTGTTTTAGACTTTTATAAATTCTTTTTATTCCATCATATCTCTTCAAGATTTATTATAGCCTCATCCATGCAGAAAAAAATAGTATGTTTAGTTGCTCCCACCCCACTTATGATGGGTCCATATCTGTTATTTATAATCATTTTAATTTAAAAAAGAAGCCTAGTAAATCTTGTAACATTCACATCCCTGTTGCCCTCTTTTGAAGGCATTTATGCATTTCCTAGTCAGCATGTATTGAATTCTAATGCTATATGAAACTTCATGTTTGCTTTTTTTGCATTTCTCATAGACTGAAAATCAACTTCATTGTTTTCAAAACCATTGCCAAAGCATGTTGCTATCCACAGTTGACTGAACTTTCGTCTTTCATTTTTGTCTCTCCGCAGTAGAAAATAGAAGTTTTATATGCCAGCTTAAGGATTCTTCATCATAGTTCCAAAGAATCTTTTTTCGATTTTATCGACATGCTAAAGGTTAGATTACAATTAATGTTTTTGTTAATTTAGAAAATCGTCAAAAAAGGCGTACAAAACCTGCTAAAGACTTTTGAATCTATTTGAATGATTAAAACTGCATAGCAAAAATAAAACAGGCTTTGCCTTTGAACTAGTAGCTCAGAGACTATTGAAGATAATTCTGAAGGAAAATAAAACAAAAGAAATCAAAAGATGAGGTTTGATCATGAATAGTTAGCATGACTTTGCAAAAGGGAAATACGATAGACATTGTCAAGGAGGTGTTCAGGAGTGTAGACGACAGCAGTGCATTTGATGTAGTTAATATGGACTTCAAAAAGACTTTGACGAGGTCCCACGTGGGAGACTGAAAAAGAAAATGAAAGTGCATGGGGCTCAAAGTCATTTGGTGAGCCGTGTCCAAAATTTTCAAAAGTGGTAGTAGACAGAATGCGAAGGCAGAAGTCGGTTTGCCTGACTCTATGCCAGTGTCCAGTCACCCCAACCTTAAATTTACCTGGACCATCTCTAACACCTCTCTCCCCTTCCTGGACCTCTCTGTCTCCATATCGGGCAACCACCTCGAAACCGATATTCATTTCAAGCCCACCGACTCCCACAACTACCTAGAATACTCCTCCTCCCACCCACCTTCCTGCAAAAATGCTATCCCCTATTCCCAATTCCTTCGCCTCCGCCGCATCTGCTCCCAGGATGAGGCATTCCACTCCCGTACATCTCAGTTGTCCTCGTTTTTCAAGGACCGTAACTTCCCCTCCTCGGTGGTCGAGAACGCCCTCAACCGTGTCTCCCACATCTCCCGCACCTCATCCCTCACACCCCGTCCACGCAATAAAAACCAAAAAAGAATCCCCCTCGTCCTCACGTACCACCCCACCAACCTCCGGATCCAACGCATCATCCTCCGACACTTCCGCCATCTGCAATCCGACCCCACCACCAAAGACATCTTTCCCTCCCCACCTTTATCTGCTTTCCGGAGGGACAACTCTCTCCGTGACTCCCTTGTCCGCTCCACACTCCCCTCCAGCTCCACCACACCCGGCACTTTTTCCTGCAACCGCAGGAAGTGCTACACCTGCCCCCATACCTCCTCCCTCACCCCCATCCCAGGCCCCAAGAAGACTTTCCACATCAAGCAGATGTTCACCTGCACATCTGCCAATGTGGTATACTGCATCCGCTGTACCCGGTGTGGCTTCCTCTACATCGGGGAAACCAAGCGGAGACTCGGGGACCGCTTTGCAGAACACCTACGCTCGGTTCGCAACAAACAACTGCACCTCCCGGTCGCGAACCATTTCAACTCCCCCTCCCATTCCTCAGACGACATGTCCATCCTGGGCCTCCTGCAGTGCCACAACGATGCCACCCGAAGGTTGCAGGAACAGCAACTCATATTCCGCTTGGGAACCCTGCAGCCCAATGGTATCAATGTGGATTTCACAAGTTTCAAAATCTCCCCTCCCCCTACCGCATCCCAAAACCAGTCCAGCTCGTCCCTGCCTCCCTAACCTGTTCTTCCTCCCACCTATCCCCTCCTCCCACCTCAAGCCGCACCTCCATCTCCTACCGACCAACCTCATCCCGCCCCCTTGACCTGTCCGTCCTCCCTGGACTGACCTATCCCCTTCCTAACTCCCTACCTACACTCACCTTTCCTGGCCCCATCCCCGCCTCTTCGACCTGTTTGTTTCCTCTCCACCTATCCTCTCCTCTATCCCTCTTCTATCCGCCTCCCACTCTCTCCCTATTTATTTCAAAACCCCCTTCCCCTCCCCCTTTTCTGATGAAGGGTCTAGGCCCGAAACGTCAGCCTCTCTGCTCCTATGATGCTGCTTGGCCTGCTGTGTTCATCCAGCCCTGCACCTTGTTGTCTTGGATAACTGCTGTGTTCCTTTATTGTTCCTGATATATATAAATTATGCAGTTCAGCAAGTCACAGTCATGCTAACTAAGTTTGTGATGACTCCCAGATAATCATGATGCGGATGGTCATTGGATACAGGAGAACATCGATGGCTTAGTCAGACAGACAAAAAAAAAGGGACACATAGAATGAATCCCTAAAGGATACCAGTTGGTGCATTTTGGGAGAAGTAACAAGACAAGGGTACTCAATGAGTGGCAGGATACTAGGAAACCCAAAGGCACAGCAGAATCTTGATTAGTTTCTCAGCAGATCCTCGAAGGTCAGGAGAGGTTAATGGGCCAGATATGAAAGCAAGTATGCTGCCTTTCTTTATCAGTCATGGTACAGATTATAAGAGCGGGGAGGTTATGTTGGAGCTGCTCAAAAATTTGGTTAGTCTACAACTAGAGTACTGTATTTAGTTCTGGCCGCCTCACTACAGAAAGGATATGATTGTACTGAAGGTTTTACAGACGGGATTCATCAAGATGTGGCCTGTGATGGAGAATTTTAGTTATCAAGATAGACCAGATGGGTTGTGGTTGTTTTATTTGGAGCAGATAAACCTGGGAGTTCTTCAATATATATATTTGATTCTCTTTAGTTAAAGGTCAAAAACGGGTGGAAAAATTTAAGTTTTACAATGAATTTGAGCAAAAATGTTTTCTTCCAGTGGATGTAGGGAATTTGGAAAACATTGTATGTGAGGGTAGTAGAATCATGAAACACTATAACTTTTAATAAATGCCTGAATTCGCACATGAAACGTCATAACATTCGATCTTATAAACAGGTGTTCAAAAGTGGAATTAGTGCTTGCATTGCACCATTAGGTGCAATGACCTCTGTTTTCCTGTGTGCTTCTTTAACTCTATCATTTATGTTAAGTTATGAAAGACTTTATGGATAAATCAAGATGTTTGCATTACAACCTTGAGAAAATAATTTGAAATTATTGAAGTGTTCAAGCTCATTATGGGCAATGGCATTATTGAATCGAGTGCTCCTAATTTTAGTTCACGTAACTTAATTCTAGGGAAACTGAATTAGGATTGATGAAGAAATTCTTGGATGTGAAGG